CGGTAGCAAAGAATCCTTTCTCCACCCACTGCCTTGTGCTGTGTTGTGCTTCTGCTAAACAAACTGGACATGCTGGAACCAGTGCTCAGCATTACCGAGTATCCCACAAATGAAAATGGAGGAAGTACTGCACCATTGCTTGCACCATCCCAGACGTAAAGCTGTCTTAACTCACACTTGGCAGGAAGTTTAATTATGTCTTTGAGAAGCTCTAGTCCCTACTTCAGGGATTCTTCTGCAGGTCTCAGGGGTACGCAGTAGTTTTATTTCTGGTTTTATCCCTTCCCACAAATGTTAAAGTTTGTGCGAAAGAGGAAGAGGCAGAGAGAAGAACAGAATAGAGAAAAAAATTTCTTTAAGCAGTCCCACCAGTTTGGAAGAAATATAATCAGATACTAAGATTGCTCTGGTGGGGAAGAAGGTTAAGTTAATGACATGTCTGTGAACCCAAACAATTAGGACAGCAGATAAACATGCAACCCATGACTGGAATACCATTTTCAGGCAGCATTTTAGCAGGCTTTTTTGCATGCAAATGTGATTTTGGAAAGCAGCTATAGACCTCTCAGCAGCAGCAGCTGATGCCACACTGCCCACTACTATTTAGGCTACCCAGCTACGCTCTCCCACTGCACACAAGCGCTGCAAGGGGCACTGGTCAGCACAATCAGATGTGTGTGCTAGAAATGTACATGGCAAGTGGCACACATGAAGATTTGTTGTCACTTGTCCTAAAAATAAACTGTAAGTCTACAAGCCACATCTAAACAAGCAGATTTTTTTTGTCTTAGTCGTTCTCATTATGGCCTCTGCTCATTCCTGTTGTGGCACACACATGCACACTTCCTAAATGGCAAGCTAAAATAAACAGTGCCACTGATACCAAGTCACATGTATACCATCATGTTTTCTAAAATGGATTGCGATTTGGCATACGGAGTAGATTTAAAACAGAATACACCAGAAACAAGTCTGAATTACTGTTTGTTTTCTTGGACCTAATCTGAATGTGACCTGTCAAACGCATGGGAAACAAACTGAAGAATGTGCCTGTTGTGAATAGACCTGAATTTATAATGAAGCAAAATATTATGATGAAAAAAGAAAGACCTGTGGTCACAGTTGCTGTATCTATGTATCCACACCTTTATCAACTTAGTTAATGGTTCCCATAAGTTCAACAGAGTGAAGAGAATACTGATTAAAGTGGCCTGGAAATAAGGTAGAAGACATCATACAGAATTTAAGCAAAATTGTCTATAAAAAGAGCACTCCTTTAATGTGCATTGAGTCTTCACAGCTTCCCTAATTTACACAGCTTCTCTGCTTCCTACAAAGGTATGATTTTGTTCCTCCAGCTTGGGGATCTCACCCCAGTGAGAGGCAGGTTCGAGGGAGAGTGGTCTGTGAAGGCCAGCATCAAAAACCCTGCCATGCCTGCACCTGAAAGCTAAAAGGAGTAGGGCACTGTTCATCCGGACACGGTTCAGATACAGGATTATGCCATGGTTGCAACATAGGAGTCCCTAGTGCAAAGTCCTAAAGAAGTCATGTTCCAGGCAGGGAACTAGTACTGTGCCTTGACATCATCGAGGAGAAAATCAGTGACGTCACACTCCTGTCTGGGGAAAATAGGGTTTTCTTTGCTCATTTGGAAATAGGATTTTCATTAAACTAGGATGAACATATTCCCCCCCCCATTTACCCATCAAGGAGACCTGGCAGCCCTGTTGTGGTCCTCAGTCTGAGAGCTATATATACAGCCCATGGGCGATCTGTATGTATACCCCACTCTGCTGGGCCTGCAGTGGTGGAATACAGGGAATCCATCAAAATCTGCATCATTTCGGCATCCCCTGCACTGTGAGAAAGTTGCTCTCTACTAAAATTCATGGGCACTGCTACGGGGCTAATACAGACACCCCGCAGGAGGAAAGCATTTTAATGCAGACTGCATTTCATACACATTAAAAATACACGGTGTAGAGCTGGGAGTAATTTTGCCAGAGGAGGAAACAAAACACGAGCACGTATGATGAGAAGGCCCTATGACTAAGAGCACAGGCAAGCAGGGGCGGGGATACTTTTACTGCCCTGTCTGTAACGGGCAGGAGCACCCTATGAAATAGCTGTTGGGGGGGGGGGGGGGCGCACGGCCCCGGGGAGGGCAGAGCCTCAGAGCGCCAAGAGGAGAGGACGCACCGCACGGTGTCGGGCGTTTCGAAACACCCGGTAGGCAAGAAGAGACCCGCGAGAGGCCTGCCAGCGCTCCCCCGCCGCCGCTCCCCTGCCCTCAGCCACCCGTTATACCCAGCTCCCCACGGCGGAGGCTCTCTCCCGGCCGGGGAGGCCCCAGCCGCCCGCCCCGCAGCCAGGCCCCCCCGCGGCGGGCACGGGGCATCACTCACCGGTCATGCTGTCGGTCTGTGTGCTCGCCGCACTCACCCGCGGCCCCTCCGCCGCCTCCTCTGCGCCGTGCATCGGTGCCGGTGCGGGTACCGGTGGCGGTGCCGGTACCGCCCGGTGCCCCCCACCCCCCGGCCTCGCCCCGCCCCTCCCCATGGTGACCCCGCTCCTCCCGCAGGGCGTCGCCGCGGCGGGGGCGTCAGCATGGCAACCGCTCTGACGGGCGGGCTCCTCGGCCAATAGACACCGGGGGGGAGAGAGGAGGCGAGGCTTGTGTGATGGGCGGGGCTTGTGTGATGGGCGGAGCGGCGGCTCCGGGGCGCGCTGTTCTCTCCGGCGCGGCCGTCTCCGTTCGGGGGTTGTGATCGTCCTTCTGTACCGCAGCCCTGGTCTGCCCCTCGGTGGCCTCCCCGAGAAGATCCAAGCTCGCGGGGAAAAGAGGGATCCGAGGAACACGCGGTCAGCTGCACAGCGCAGAAAGGGGCTTGTGCATCCGGTTTGGGGAACAGGGAGCTGGCAGCATGAGGGTTTCTGTGCCATGGGGTCATTTCTCTTGTACCCTGCTAATCGTCTTGCTGGTGTAACTAGCTTGGTGAGTGTGGGGAAGTCGTGTTCCTTTCTGCCACTGCTGCAGCACAACTGTTCTTCAGCAGAGATGTTACACTGGTAAATCCCATCCCTTCATCTGTGCTGCGTGCTTCCTCTGGGGAAAGAGAGCATAGCTTCCCCAGGCTGGTTTGGTTTTGTTGGTAGAAACTTTCCAGTGCAGGGTTATTACAGTAATTACACCTCGGTAGGAAAGTGAGCAAGGAACTTGGCACTGTAGAGTGAGTCTGAAGATGGGTCTTCTTTTCCTCTTTTAACATGTATGTTACCGATGCTGTGATGAGACCAAAACTCTTCATCATGTATGAATTGATGTTTGGACTCTGCAAGACTGGCACTGGGATTGCTACTTTTCCAAGGCCATGGTGAGGGAAAGGTTGGAAGAGAGCAGGGAAGGAGCTGGTTGGTTGATTGGTTTCTTGGGTTCTGTTGCTTTTCTTGGTTTGGGTGCTTTGTTTGCCTTTTTTTTTTTAACCGTCATTGTCTTGATTTGCATAAATAATTGAGGCTGCACCTGGACATGGGGCTGCTGGGAATAAATCAGATGGGGCTGTTCTGTTTTCATTTACAGCATTCCTCCTTACACTAGCACCAGAGGCAGCAGTGCCAGGCCTGCGAACTCCCCAAACTCCATCCATTTCCTAAGCATCTGACCTGGCGGTGACTGAGCGCTAACAAGCATGTCAAGCTCATGAATGCAATTTGCTGTGCTGATACTGTACTAAGCATGCAAAAGGAATATTTATAAGAGGGATTCAAATGACCCTCCCAGGAAACCAACCATTTCCACAATGTGCCGCTGGGAGAAGAAGTCTTCTGCTGCGGCACTTGAGGCTGAGCAGGAGCAGCCCAGGCCTGAAGCTCCTGGCAGAAACATGGTCACCCCATGAGTAGTGAGACAGGGTCGCAGGCACAGGGGACCTGTACAAGGCCCTGCCCAAACACCCAGCAGGCTTAGGGAGCAGGTGGGTGCCAGGGTGATCTTCCCTGGGAAAGGCCATTTCCTTCCCTCCTCTTGCTCACACCTCCTGCTTGTGGTACCTATGGAAATTTATGCCTGGCAAGTGTTTACCTCTCAGCGCAATTTGCAGCTGGTGATAAAGGAATCATTATCAGGACACCACAGGCATGTAGAAGCAGCTTCATGGCTGCGTATGAATGTGACAAAGCTTTTTTCCTCCTCAGTCTGCATACATTTACTAGGATTGCTGTTAAAAGTAACTTGCTCAAACAGAAAATACCAGCTCTTTTTTCATTATAACATTTTAATGACACTCTCCTCCCCAGCAAAAGCATCCCAAGCCAAGCCCTGCAGACAGCTGGGCTTGCCCAGTACGAAGCCAAAGAAGAAAGGTTAATGTGTGTGCAATGAGCTAGGGGTTTTTCTGTCTTCTTTTTTTGTATCCAGTGACTCAGAGCTGTGGATTGTTAAGTAGAGAACTGGTGGGGTTTCTAAAACCCAGAGAAGGCTCAGGTTCAACTTTGCTGTCTTGAGATGTCTGAGCTGGATGCTGAGTTCTGCCTTCCCGTGGTAGCAAACACCATTGCATGGAGCTCCAGCATACAGTAATTGCCATCGTTACATCTTTGAAGCACAGACATGCTAATTAACAAGGGTTAACAGAGGGCAAGCACGGACATACCACCAGTGTTGCTCCTGTAAGCACAGTCCAGACCATGAGGCAGTGGGGACATGCTGCTAACATTTACCAAACACTGCGGTGATGAGGAAGTGACAGGAATATCTGAACTCTTACAGATACAGGCAATTAGTTGCTGGCATATATAAGAGACCTTATTTGATACATGTGTTTCTGATGGAAAACCTTGTGCCTACTCCAGTGTAAATCCTCAACTACCTTAGCAAAAGGTACTCTCTTGAGCTTATTGTTTCTTTCTGTTTTTCTACACTGATGTTAAGCTGATTACATCCTTGGTAAAATAAGTCTCCCATGTAGCATGTAAAACCTTCATGAAAGGCAGGGAAAAGTAAGGACCAGGGCATTTTGTTGTATGCTTATTAATCAATAGTTGGATTTCTTTGTTCGTTTCTTCTCTTTCCTTTTTTCTTCCAATTGGTCATTGTTTACAAAGTTTAAAGCCCCAGATCAGGCTATGATCTCTAATGTCCCAGAGCCTGACACTATGTTAATGAACTGAGGACTAAGAAAATGAACTAAAAATTAACAGCATCCTACATCAGCAGGAAGCGCTTTGGTATTGGGTGGTTTTTCTGCCAACGGCTCATAAGGGTTAAGCTGCTGGTTTTCAACCTGCATGGGCAACCAGTGGATTTATTCCTTGGAGAGCTATGAAAGACACTAAGAAAATCAACCTCCTTTTTCAGCAGCAGAAGTGTAGGGCCTAGAAGTGCCCACTGGAGGAGGTGGTTGATGTTACCTCAGTCTCTCTGGAGCTGCAAACTCCCTCATACTCAGTTCTGCCTGGTGAAGTTCAGAAAGGGCTGTTCCTGTGACAGCAGTCACACTGCTGATGTGCAGTGCTACACCAGGTGAAGCCTTAGCTGTGAGGGAGCAAAATCCCTGCTGCAGCGGTCCCTCGGAGCACTGGAGGGCTTGGTAGCTTGGCTGGGATGTTCCCCTGCACCATCCCTACCCTGTGCAGGAGTGTGGGCCTCTAGACCACAGTTCCCCGCTGGTGAAACCGTAGGAGGACACTGAGGCAGATGTGAGTGCCCCAGAACATGGTGGCCAGCAGGCTGGGATCTATGGCCTGTGGCGTGTGCTTGCAGTCATGGCTGAAGTCAGTGTGGTTGTCAGGCTGCTCCACACTGACCAGGAAGAAGAAAGGGGCTGGTAGAGAGGAAGGTGAAGGCCCAGAGGATGCCGTTGGCGGCCTTTACTTGATGGTTGGTGACAACCACCTTGGCCTCGAGGGGAAGCAGATGGTGACGTAATGCTGCATGGTGATGGCAGTGATGTGGGGGACACAGGTGTAGCCCCACAGAGGTAGGGGCAGCACAGCAGCTGCATGAAGGGCCAGGGCCAGGGGCCATGGAATCCATGGACAGCCCCAGTAGGGTGAGCAAGTCTGAGACAGCCATGCTGCTTGGGCAGAGGTTGGTGGTGTCTTCATGTTGTGACAGCATGGATGCCCAGCACTGCTGGGACACCCACCATGCCTACCATGAGGAGCCCCAGGCAGACAGCAATGATGGGGATGAGCACCCACACCAACAGTGCCAAACACAGCCGCTCGTTGTGGCTCACCCTCGCTGCTGCTCTCACCACCACCCCACACACCACCAGGGGACACGGCCACCTCAGTGCCCACCAACACCCAAGGAGCAGCCTCAGCCCCTGCACCCACCACCCCTCCCTGTGGTCCCACTGCCTTGGGAGCTGCCACCATCAGCCCTGGCCCAGCCAAGGGCAGGCGCCTCGGAATGAGAGTGTGCTTCAGCGGCAGTGATACACGCCAAAGCACAGAGCAACCACCACAAAAAAGAATGATACTTTTATTTTCCACAGAGTTTTAAAGATACTTTGCTACATAGTTTATGTTATTTTCTATCAGACTATACAGGTTCGTCTTCATGGAGTCCGACGTTGTACAATTGTAAAGTGATATGTTTGGTAGTGTATCTATAACATTTTAAAAAGTTTAGAGTTTTTTTCTTTTTCTCTTAATTTATTTTTGGAATGTACAGTATATGAGGTAAAATTAAGATTACATTAAAAACTGTCTTCAGTGCAGCAATATGCACTGAGGCTCAAATGGCAAATACACTATTAAATGACTATCAAAAATAGGAGCTCATTTGAATTTTACTATGAAAAACAGAAGTCACTGCAGATTAACTGTAGTAACAAATCTTACCGTTTTAGACATTCAACCGTAAGAAATCTCTGGGCTCTTACACGCAACCTCATTTGCACTGCCAAACATGGCACTTTGAAGAAGGTTCTAGAAAACATCAGTTATCCTGTGGGAAGGTATCAGCCTATACGTACAAATGACAGATTGGAAATAAAGTGTAAACATACAGTACATCTTAAAGACAGAGCACTCTCGCCACGAGGAGGCCGAGTTCTTCGCCATTTCTTCTCTTTTGTTGTTTTAAAGGTAACGAAACTCAGCAACATTATTCTACAGCACAGATCATTGGACGTATAAACAGTTACAATACATGCCCGTTCTAATATAAGAGAAATTCTTCAGAGATCTTCAAAGCACAAGACAGAGGTTCCTTTTTTATTATTATTAAGACCAACAGAAGTGTTTAATACCATTAAAAATGCTAAACTGAACACAACTAGAAGTCATTAATGATTCACTATCTCGTAACTCAAATAAATTAAGAGTAGCTAATTACAAAGTGTGTAACAAATAACGTAAGTGTGATGAGACAAGGATTTTTTTTTCTTTTAAAGATAGTTTCACTACAAGCTTTGTGTCACTGGCAATCGTTGACATCCAGCGAGATGTTCAATGGGATACTTGATAAAATTCAGTCTGGTCATTCAAGAACTCACAAACGCAAGCTCACAAAACAATGATGAGTTATGCAATTGCAAAGTGCTCTAATGCAACATTAACTACATGCAATCAACGATTTGGTACAGTATCCAAAGAGACATTACATTAAACATTAGGATCTCAAGAAAAAAGCAGCTTTTAAGTTTTCTGGTGCAAATTACTATGCTTCATCTTCTGATTTGGTGCCCCAAAGAAAGAGAGAGAAAGAAAGAAAGAGAGAGAGAAAACAAAAAATAAAAGGCAGTGCTTGATTCTGGTGGATATGGCAAGTGGATGTTGGGGAAACAGCAAAAGTTCAATGATGAATTTTATCTCAAAAACCTATTAACTAGCCAAAATCAGAGGGCACAGACATCTGTATAAACTGCATCCAATCAAAGGTCAACTTTGGAAATGTGTTTTTCAATTAAAGTAGGAAGTCTAAGAAGTTCTCTCACACTCTCCCTTCTCTATTTTTGAGAAGCAAAAGAGGCATTTTTGTAAGTAAACATCAAATCCTGGGGGCAAGATAAACCACTTGTGCCATCCCCTTGTAGTCTTTCGAAAACATCTACTTGCAGTGAAGAACTCCACATTTATCAGTAAGAAGCTTCCTTCATGCATACTCTTCCATCCAGTTTATTATTTGCTGCCTGAGAAAAGCCCCTTCTGTGTTTCAGCATAAATCCTGCTTCCCAAATAATTAAGACAAATGAGGAGGTAGAAATACAGCGCTAAATTGCTTTCACAGCATCAGATTAATATTGTATACAGCACAAGTTTGTTAGTGTAAGTTTTCAATGCGATCACACATTCTTCCCTGTGACAGTAGCAACCCTTACAACAAGTGTGGGTCAGGAAACCATTCTTACACTGACGTTTACTGGTCAAACCCTTGTCGTTAAATGCACCTTGCCTGCCCCATACAGAGTTTGTACTGCAAGAAGGCATATTAAAGAAAAGATTGTATTTCTGTGGCTTGCATTCTAATAACATGTCAGCCTATACCTACCGGTAAGCATTTTAAAGTGGCCAGAAAGGTTTGCATCAGTCCCAATGCCGGTGCTAAATGCCTGTTTTTTCTTTTTTGTAAAAGCAAGAGAACAGAATTACTTTTAGATTATGAGAAAGTAAAATGTAATGGGCAGTGTTCTAAAATAAACCTCTCTTCTTCACTTTATTACAAAGTACTGAATGATAACAGCAATCAGAATGGAAAAGATAGCAAAAAGTGCAAGGATGACAGCAGCGCACACTTGGTCGCTCTGTGACCATTGTGTCCTTGTGGTTTGCACAGTGTCCTTGGTGCTTGCCGGTGGTTCAGTCCTCTGAGAGATGAATAGCACTGGGGCACTGTAGGGGCCTATCAGGTCCTGGTGACCTCCTATCTCTTGGCACTGACGAATGGCACATGCGCGGAAACGGTATTCACAGTTCAGCTGGAGGCCCGTGTATCGGAATGACCAGTCCGGACCCTTATAAATCTGGCATTAAAGATAAAACAAATAGATAAATCTAATAAAAACATCCTACATACACATCTCTCTATGGTTTATTTATGGGGGAAGTAACTGTAAAAAGGGGGACTCCTCACCAGTGTTTTCACCCATGCAAAAGAAAATGGACAAAAAGCTCACAAGTGTAATTTAAATGCCAGGTAAAGGCTCCAGTCCCTTTGCTGAAGCCCAGGCAAAGTACTACAAGAGCTTCTACAGCATGGTGAGAACATGCTGAATTAACTGTTAGAAGATCTGGTGTTGGTTTACTGACCACTTCCAGTGTAAATACTAAGCCATGGGATGTAATGTACAATATTCCATCAGAGGATTTTAGGTAATTAACTCTGTATCAAGCTACTACATTAAGTCTTAATCCAATGCGACATACTTTATTGTAGCTACAGTATCCTGTGTTCAAAATACTATTAACTTATCCCAGTAAACACTGTTTCAGGAAAGCTCTAAGGAGTCTTCTCTGTGATTCTCAATTTCATCAGATCCTAAGACATAGATGACTTGTCAGGGTGTTCTCCAAGGGTCTCCCAGTTGTCTGGTTAACGTGAGTTCACACTGAGTGCCTAATTCAATGAAATCTAAATGCTGTTTTTTCAAATTTATTAATTTGCAGCTACATCAAGTCCTGTAGAATCCAATGAAATCCCATCCCCATGTAGGGCCGATTTTCCGTTTACAGGTGTATCAGTAGGTACTGAGCTATTAGGTGGGCAGTGCATTGATTTCTCTCTTTAAACCCCTTCACACCTCATTATCAGGATACAGAAATACCCCATCATGCAGAAGTTTTCCTTGCAGTTATCATCCTTTAGACAGTATTTCGCAAATGCAAATTACCAACCATTCAATGAAAGAAGCAGGAAATCTCTTCTGATTTTGCTGTATGAAGAGCTCTTGCTGTGCCTGTGGCTCCTCACAGACTTAGAAAGCCCTCTGACAGCCAAGGCAGCTAAGCTTTACTGGAACCTACAACCTTGAGACTTCCCTTTCTCTCAGGAAATGGTTCTCACCCTGAGACAGGGCAGGTCATTGGGAGTGCAGCTTTCTCTAATTCTGCTCATTTGTATCATGTGTTTGGTAGCGAGCAAACAGCACAGACACACACAGCCTATTTAGAGTAGGCATGGGTGACTGGCCACAGCTACTTGTCCCCAGTGCCTTGCAGGAAATTGCCCTCCCCTCAAATGTGTTTACTATAGTTTTTATAGGGTCACTTCCTAACCCCCTGAAAAGCTTGACTGATGTATATGGCTCAAACAGTAGATTACTAACTTATTTTGTCTTAATCATGTAGGGAGCAACGCATGAGCAACTTGGCTGATGGATCAGCAGGGAGAGGAGAGTGAAGTTTAGGCAGGGAAGTGGTAGTAAACAGCTTGGAGTGAACTTACAGGACTTTTTTTCTGTTCACAAAGAAAACTGTTACCATCATGTCTAAGTATCTTAAAGGCCACTTAGATGGTGTTTACTTCTTGACTGTTCCAATTTTAGGTTTTGCAAACTTATCTCCTCATTTTATTTTAATGTACTGTGCTGAGCTGCTCTGGAGAGCAAAAAGGAATCATGCACCTCAGCCTACTCTGTTATTTCCAGGCTTAAAGAGTAACCTTCAGTTTCTTGTCCAGCTCATCTGGCAATGCACATTGCTGATCACAGCCTGATTTGACTCCATGTCAAGAAGCAGCACTGACCATACTTCAGTTACAGATTTCATACTGCATTTCCAATTTTAAAGTTATGATAAAGAATATCCACACGGCAAGGTAACAAATACCTTGGAGTATGGTTCATTTTTTACTGAAAAATTTAACAAAGGGACACAACAGACATAGCACTACACCAGAAGTTATGAATTATGAAAATATTAAGGCATATAATCTACCAAAGCACAGGTAAAACTTACTTAGTACTGACCTGTAATAAAATTATAATAAACTAGAATTGTGTTTCCTTTCTGGAAGGAAACCTGATTGCTTAACAGTGTAAAACAGTTTTCAAGCTGGATTTCATGTCAATTATCAGGCAGTTTATAGGGAAGCAAAATTAGCACTGCCCATCCTCTTTGAAATACAGACATAGTTTAGCTTGGGTTCCCAGCTGTATCTTTGGATAATCAAACCTGAAATTAAAACACACTCACCACTGCTTGACCCTTATAGTAACACAGCATGCCCTACTACTGAAATGGTCCTATGGTAAAAAACTAATGACTGAATTACATTAAAAGTTTCCCTACAGCTGAATGTCTACACTGCATAAGCAGGGGCTCTTTCCTGCCTGCAGTTCTCTGTACAGAAGTATGACTCTGTCAAAGTCAAAACTTCTTAATACTGCTTACTGCCTTCAGACAGTTTTTGGTGCAGGGAGCCCTTTGACCTTTTTCTCACAAGTCTCATTTTGGTACCATTGGGTGGATGTTTTCTTTTCTTCAGTTTCCTGAAATTCCTTCACCACCTGAGGTGAGGTGCAATTTAGTGCAGTGTTTATATTCCTTACATCTTTTTTCTCTATGACAATGGTTTTAAGATACTACCTTTTATTACTTAGTAACAGAAAGTTAGCATGGTGCCTAAAACCGTATTGTCATATATCTATATGACAATCTATAATCTAAACTAGTTACCACAAATACTAACGGAATTAAAATACAGTAACTGAAGCACATCATACCTGTTTGAATTCCGAGTCTTTTCCCACCATGACCTGAAGACAGTAGATAACGGGATCACCCTTCATGGGCTGCAGAACCTCCCACGTGATCTCACAAGTGTGATCATTTATCCTCTCTATTCTTGGTGCTGAAGGGAGCAAACAGAGGTGAAAGTGAGCTCTGCTTTCCCAATCACCTAACACTGTTAC